CCCCCCCCCCCCCCCCCCCACTTTCCTCGCTTGCGGTTGATAATGAGAAGAGGGTGTAAGAAAACTATGAGATAATGAAGGGATATAAGGAGATTATGTGGTTCCTTTATAGTCAACAACGAATGTGTGGTTGTAGATCCTTGCACAAGAGTCGTAGATGGTAACGATGAGCCATCGTATGAGATTTATAAGTGGATAGGATAACCAAGAATATAGGCGATGGTAGCCCTCCCTTGTACAAGGGTTGTTAGCGACAACAACGAGATTGACGGAGGCAATGATGAATCTAAAAACATTAATTTTTAAATTTATTAGGATTAAATTATTTTTTTTTCACATGATCAAATGTATACTATAAAAAATTTTCAAACTTGAGATGCTATCCGAAACATTTTAAAACTTATATATTTTTTCTGAAATTTTACTCTATGTATAATTGATTTTATTAAACTATGTATATAATTAGATAGAGTTATATTATTGTGTGTCCCATCAATCCAACTCATGAAAGAATGTCTTGGGACGCAAGAGAAGAGGACAAGAAGGAATCGTTAGAGACTTGGGACAAATAATAAGGCAAAGGTTGAGCTACTGATAGTGAGAGAAATGTTAATGTGATATTTGCAATGAAATTGTATTATCATTTCCCCTATTGTATCTCCATCATCAAATATCCAAATTAACATGGACAAATAGCAAGAAAATGTATCATAAGATCAGCACATCACATATTTTGATCAAGAGAAATGAGGTGCAGTATGCACTTCTCTACCACTGCTAACACAGTCTTGTTCTTGGAGTGTGCATCAAGGATTTTAAGGACAACCATTCAAAGCCAAAGCAAACAAGCGAGCCGCTATCATCACCCATTTATGAAGCTTTTAAATCAATGCCGTTCTCAGACAGCTTGTGATCACCACTCACGCAGCCCTCCACCCTGACCCCCGACAACGCCCTCACCACCATGACCCCCGACAACGCCCTCACCACCATGACCCCCGACAACGCGGCGGCGGCGCTCACCACGGCGGCCCCCTCCAGCCAGCCGGCCACCCCACCCTCGCGGCAAGGAAACATGCGGTGCATCGCCATCACCGCCGTAGGCCTCATCGTGCTCGTCGGCCTCGTCGTCCTCGTCTTCTGGCTCGCCCTCCGCCCCATGCCGCTCGAGTACACCATCGATGACGCCCACATCCGCGGCTTCAACATCACGGCCCACGCGCTCAACGGCGTCTTCGACCTCAGGCTCCGGTCCTACAACCGCAACACCAGGTTCTCGGTGTACTACGACGCCATGGAGGTTACGGTGTGGTACGGCGAGCAGACGGTGGCCATCTCCAAGGTCGCCCCGTTCTACCAGCACCGTCATTACGTGCAGACGATCACCGTGAGCGCAACGGCACAGTCGACGCCGCTGCTACGCCCGGTGGAGAAGAACCTGAGGCACAACGAGTCGGCCGGGGTGGTGGAGCTGGAGGTGAGGGCGAGGGCGAGGATTAGGTTTGCGGTGGGGGTTGTGAGGAAGCACTATAAGCTGAAGGCCTACTGCGCGCCGGTGGTCATGCACTGCTCTCCTTCGTCGCACTTCGACAGGGTTTACTGTACGAGTGCCACTCTTACGAGCGTTTGACCTGCATGAGACTTTTAGCTGTGTCTATTTGCGTGTATTGTGATAGTTTACTTGTTACTCGAAGCTAATTTTCTTATTGTAATCATTTTCGTTTAATCAATCACGGATATTGCAGTTTTTGTTCTTTATTTTTGCTATTCAAACACTAATCAATCAATTTCATAAAATCACTAAATCTGGAAGAATAACATTTAAGTTGGAGAAAACCACGGGAGATTCAATGATGTGGGTCCCTTTGATTGCCACGGTGTCGGGAGAGGCGACGTGTCGGTGACAGACAGGTAGACAAATTAGTTATAGAAAAATCGTTTAGTAGTTGACTTGTCATAGATGACGTGGCAACCGGGGTTCAGGCGAGAATGTTTCTGATAGGCTACTAGAGGAATACTGATTCAACCTGCTTCGTGATTGGGGATTCCATCGGATTCACCCAAAATAGGGTAGCTTTACGGTTTAATTATTTGGATATCATAGAAAGGTTTTCTTTTCCCCCTTTTTTTTCTCCTTTTTTTTATTGCTTTTTCTTGCGCCTAGAGAACCAATCGGGGGGCTGACAAAGAAGACCTAGAAACGGAACAGAAGCGATTCGATCTCAGCCTGAATCGATCGCTCTTCTCCGGAGTTGGGAGTGAGAAAAGATCAACGAGAGGAGGAGGAGGAGCGGCAGGGGAAGGAGATGGAGACGGTGAAGAATCTGCTGCGGCCGAAGCCCAATCCCCAACAGCAGCTCCGCGAATGGCAGCGCCGGCTCCGCCAAGAGTGCCGCAACATCGAGCGCCAGATCCGAGGAACGTACATCCCCCTTGTTCTCTTGATCAATTAGTTTCGATTTATTAAAAGAGTTGATTGGTCTTGCAGATGTGCAGAGGGAGGAGAAGAACGTGCAGAAGGCGATAAAGGATGCCGCGAAAAGGAACGACATGGCTTCGGCAAAGGTCGGATCAACTCCGATCTCTTCCTCCTCCTCCTCTCTCCTGATGCAGTTTCTTGGATTCGTTTGATGAATTGGTTACTAACTTATAGTGAGAGTTTTTAGAAGCTATGATCGTTGTTTCGATCGTTCGATCTAACTATGCTGATCATATTTATTATCTCTTCTCGAGAAATATGTCATATATCTCTTTGCATACTCGTTCTCAGTTTTGCATGCGTCAGTTCTGCGGAGATTTCCGCATTATTGGTGGGAAGAATATGCACAAATTGAACTTTTTCATAATTTCTTGAGAAAGTAATTGATTGGGAACTTGAATGTGGCTAATTTTTGTCTTTTATTTTATACAATTCTGTCATTATAGACTTGCCAAGAAATAGTTAGTTGTTGTGTGCAATATATACTGTGTTCATCAGGGACTTACTAATTCTGTTGTGCTTTGGTTGTAATTATCATAAGTTATTTTATCATGATTAGCAGGCGACTCAAATATTTTATCTATGTTTTCCTAACATAGTATGCTCTGATACAATCAATTAAAGGGTCAGCCATCGGATATTAGTTAAGAATATGCTAAGAGAACAAACTAGGAGTTTCTCATAAATACCAGGTTGTGATATAGAGTAAAGATCCAAGTTTCTTATAATAAGACCACTATCTGCAAAGAAGACTTGCATACTAAGATAGTTCAATAATATATATGAATATATATATGTATATATATGTACATATATACATATATACATATATACATACATATATATATACATATATATATATATACATGTATATATATATATATATACATGTATATATATATATATGTATATATATATATACATATATATATATATACATATATATATATATACATATATATATATATACATACATATATATATATACATACATATATATATATATATATATATACATACACATATATATAATTTTTTTGGAAGCTGAGTTATTTTGACACTTTTGATTACCATTTCCTTGTGATGCAGTCTCTTGCTAAAGAAATTGTGAGATCAAGGCGAGCTGTGAACCGTCTTTATGAAAATAAGGCACAATTGAATTCGGTCTCCATGCACCTTGGTGAACTTGTTGGTATGGACTACAGAGAACAGTAGCCTCTTGATGTATTTTTGGATGAGAAATTTCATTTGAAATGCATAAGCAATATACTAATATTAAACATGGCTTGCTTTGTAGCTTCCTTCCTAACCACAAAATAGATATGGTTCTTATGTTCAATGACATTTCTTATGTGAAACATGTATAGGGACTTCTGATCACAGTGAAGTCCGATGGATAAGAGTTCGATCACGAAACTTTGTTTGATACCCTACAGCCAGAGAAAGAGAATCATTCCATCAGATCATCAGAACTAAGGCTGGGAAAAAACTTGTCCTATTACTTGCCTGTTTCCACTTTAGAATTTAATATGAGTTAATGATATGGCACAATACTGTGGGGCCTAGCTTCTGTATTAACCACAAATTACAGTAGTTCTGTCTGGATTTGTGCAGCTTCTTTCTATTACAGCGGTGAAATATAAATGTTTGTGTTCATGTCATATTGTTAATTCTCATAGCACCCTTCTAGCATTTGTAAAAGTTTCCTATATTCTTTGAAGACATGTTGAACTTTGGCCCCGCAAATGATATATAAATTCATGAATTAAATGCTTTATTGACATATAATGTAAATGTAGTTGAACTTATTATTGCCATTTTCGATCTCTTTGGCTTAATCTAATTTAAATTTTTTGTTGCATAAATTGATTTTTACATGCTTCTTTTGGGAAGATATTTTCATCCATTATGGTTATCTTCATGTATTCAAGTTTACTGTATAAAATCTAGAGGCCTACAAGACCTTCAGTAACCAGTTTGGGGTATGTAGGTTATTATACTATATCAGATAAAGAATTTGCATACAGCTCCCACTCATACAGTCAACTAGATGAGATTGGACCATTGATGATTGTTTATTGCATCCAAAGGCACTTTTCCTGTCTTATTGTCATTTGGTGAAAGCATCCATTTAGCAGTTTTAACATATTATGAACAGAAAGTAAGTATAATAAACATACAAAGATAACTTCTAGGAGTGTGATAATGATCTAGTATGATAAGTTTTTCTCTCCCTGGATAATTCAATTGCCAGGAAATGACATTTTTCCATTCTTTATTTTTATAATAAAATGATAGGAAAAGAATCTAAATAGAAATCTTAGGGAATAATATTCTTTATTTAAGAATATTCTCACGTGATGTTGCTTATCTAATAAAATCAACTTGAGGAAATATTATTGCACCGTGCAATAATATGGTAAATAGAAGGGAACAAGTTTACTACTTGTAGGTTGATTGGCACTAGAGTAGACATATAAAAATGCATTAGCATGCATTGCCTTCTTGTATGGGATTCTAATGGACTTTTCTAGAGCATTTGTTTGTTAGGCACCTAGATGATGTACTTGTTTTTCTAGATACGAAGATTGTAAGAAATTGTTCCACATCAAAATGAAATTGTCTGTTGTTGGTTCTATTTTCAGCAACGGCTAGGACAGTCGGCCATCTATCGAAGAGTGCTGAGGTTATGAAACTTGTTAATAATCTTATGAAAGCTCCTGAGGTGGCTGCTACAATGCAAGAATTTAGCAAAGAAATGACTAAGGTATTCATTTTGATGATGTTCTTGTTCCTTTCCTAACTAAAGTAAGAAATGCAATAGTCCAAATTAAATAGCGTGCATGATATAGTGTAAAGGTTTGGATATTTTGTACTTGAAATATGCTTGATGAGTTGCTCTTTATTATTACTAACTGTTATGTAGTTGAGTTTGCGGCATTGAATATTCATTGTATATTGATTACTGCTTGTCACTAGAGAGCTTTTATCTTTACATTGTTATTTCATTTCTGATTAGTTTATTTTTTGCATTTGTCGAAGGATCTTGTCAGCACCTGCATTGAACATAGTTCACTTTGTTGCTTTCTTACTGCATCATCAATATATTTCTGGTAATCTTTGATATATTGGATTTTGTGCTCTTATTTTTTTTTACTTTTTTTGTTTAAATTTAACATATCCATTTGTGTAGAATAATATAGAAAGTCTCATTGAGATGGAAGCTGAGCAATCATGATTACTTGCCATTATGAGAAATGTTACTTCATTACATTTGAGGAGAAATCGTTACAGTGATCACAATTATAATGAAACTAAATTTGATACTTTCTAGTTTTCCATCTAATGAAGCTTTCTCATGTTTGGTTCTGGAGAGATGATGTCTGCCTTTACATATCCTAAAATTATGCTTGGTAGTGCACCGGAAAATTTTTTCCCCTTCTCCAAGAAGTATCTATTAGACTAATGGTAATGTTGTATGTAGCGCAATGAAACGTGGAACTGTATCAGTACCGAAATAAACCACATTAGGGTTGGTCGCATTCCTTGATATCAGGGCACTTGGTTGGCAGATGATCGTAGAGATTTCTGATGTCATGCAACTCTGTTTTATATCTTAAAGCCATATCATTTACCTTAGTACAATTGTAAAGATAATTATGCTGACCGCACCAGATATGCTTCTTAATAAGTTTCATATGTTGGCTTTACAACTAATATACGAATTGCATGGCATCAATAAGTTGCTGATGATTTTTACCTGTTCATGTGTGGCCTAACATTCTGCTCTCTAGTAGTAATTGGTGCACTGCAGATGTTGTCTATCTGCTTCATTCTCATTCTACATGTTTTTTGTGTTTAGGCTGGGGTGATGGAGGAAATGGTGAATGATGCTGTTGATACAGCTTTGGACTCCGAGGACATAGAGGAGGAAATAGAAGAGGAAGTGGACAAAGTGCTTGCTGCAATAGCAGGTGAAACCGTGTCACAGCTACCAGATGCTGTTAGGAAGGAGAAGATGAAGCAACCTTCAGTGAGCACAGCTGTTGAAGAGGTATGTATGCATGGACCAAGCAGTTTCTTAGTGACATTCACAAGAGCTGAAACTATTGTGCCGCTAATATTTTCAGCGTGAAGCAGTTGCCGAGGGTGCAGAGGATGAAGACCTAGATGAGATAAGGGAACGACTTGCTAGGGTGAGGTCATAGTTGGCTCGATCTGCTTGCTTAATACGAAAGAACCAATTATTAATCATCATAGTATGTCTGAGGCATTAAGATGTGATAAATGTAGTAACATATGCACCATGAATATGATGTCACACATCCCATAAGTAGTGCTTCTCTCGTGGGATTCACTTTGATTCTCTACTAATTCTTGATAGCCAAATTTGTATGGCAAACATGGAGTTCATCCATAACCAGTGTTTATTCACCATCCATTAAGAATATGTGACGTTGTTAAGGGACATAGATGAAGAATATTTACTACTTCGTTTGCAGTTAACTAATAATATTTTCTGCTACTTGTAAAGTATCAATCTGGTGCGTAATTTTGGCTGCATGAAGCAATGGATATGTTAAGGAATTAAAGCTTAAGCTGCTTTCCTCATCTACAGATTTCCCAGGTAAATTATTCGATGATCATTTACTATAAGTCAATAGCGTAAATATAGTGTTTCTCATGATGATGTTCCTATTGTTCTTTGACACAAATGGCACTGCTACCAAGCGAGACAATATCTCCTTAGAGAGAAACGTTCGCAATCCATTATGATCAGAACCTGGAGCCAGCGATGCAGTTTGTAAACCAGGCAAGTAGTAGATGATGCGTTATTATCACTGTTATATTAAGATGCATATTAATTAAGCTATTTGATTTCTTTGCTTCGCATTTGATGGTTAAATGTATACATACTATATTTTGCATCTTTTAGATCAAGGTAGTAATAAACTGGTGCAATAGGAAAATTGCCATTCAGAGACTTAGAAGGGCCAGCTCTATGCATGCAGAAAGCTGCAGGAAACCAGACCAGGCTCCAAGCTTCATATATTGGAACACAACACACTTCCCATAATACAGTATGTGAAAACTCTGCAACATTAGCCACCAAGAAGATTAATAGTAAAAGGATATTGTACAGTAACTTTCGTGGTTACATTAGAAACAGTGACAAAGATAAGAAAGCACACAAATAAGTCAGATGTCATCTCTACCAATCCTTAATGGCACATCATTTGAATGCACAAAATCACCGTTTGGTTTCTTTAGAAGGTGGTGATCTGCATCTTCTTCATCGCTTTCGTCTATCAATGATGAAGCATATGAATCTGAACCATCTTCTGAAACAAAATATGTAAATAAAGAAATTCGATAGTTACTTATGTGACACTGAAAAAGACATATAACAAACACTTAATAGAACTCTAGCGAAGATTAAGGTGGTATTAGGGAGCATAGAAAGGGAAACTTGGGTAGCTGATCCATGCATACTTCTATGATGCACCAAGTGAAATTAACAAATTCAAGTGGTAAAGAGACATAAGAGGAAGACAGAACAAGAAGACAAGCAAAGATGACCTTGACTTGAAACAATAATAGAAATGGCTGACCATAGGATTCAGAATGACACAGGTGATACTCAATTGAGCTGAATGATGAAATCAGACCTATGTAGAATACCCTGAATTGACTTATTATACTATATTTCTAGGATTCAGCTATTTTTTGGATGTTATTCTTGTATATCGATATTGCCATAGTACTCTATTGGTCAAAGATTTTGGTACTTCTAGCAATGGTTGCAGTAGCAGGAAAACCAAACCACAAAACAGGCAAAGGTATACAAACTCACCAGAATAAGCTGGATTAGCAGGTACTTGTCCAACTGCTGTAACCTGAATATTCTCTGGGAGAATACAGTTGCAGAATGACCCTGAAATTTCCCAATCATCACACAAATTAGTACTACTTTTTTTATAAAAGAAATTCTAAGAAGAGAGAACATGTTTCAAGATAGATAATAACCTAATCTGGCAAGTCTATTTACCCATCCTGGAATAGGCTTGCCTGTCAAACGCATGCAAACTTCATCAGTGAAATGATTGCAGTTCTTGATGATCAAGTGGTAGGTGTCACCATGATATTTTCCAGCAAGGTCTTCGATAAATACACGAAATTCTGAACGAGACATATCGGTGGTACCCAACCACACAGACCGTCTGAAGATAAAACCAGGACAGCTTTTCGGTTCCACCTCAAATACTCCACTAGACGAGTAATCGTGTGCTCCGAATCCATACTCCATGCCATGAACTATAAGCAAAAGACAAAATCATATTTGTGACAAAGCATAGAACCTGAAGGCTATCTAAACAGATGACAGGATACAAACAACAAGCTTATGAGATCAATGTAAAGCAGGAAATATGGGTGAACAAAGTTGTTTATTGTGGAAGTTTCCCCAATACAAAAAACAAAAGTCAAAACTACAACAGCTAACCTTCCACTTCCTCTATCCTCCACAATCACAAGTTAACAGGATGAAGACTGGTAGGTCAGAAAATAAACAGCCAGAATTGTCTCCCTTCAAAGTCAAGTCTAAAACAAGATAACACTATAGAATCAATAAGGTCGCTCTCTAAAATGACACGTTGAGAGAATGAACAACCGCAGCACTAAAGTAGACTCACTAAGATTCACAATTACCTACTCAACACAGTTAAAGATGAGGTTGAGAACTAAAAGATTCATGGCACTGACTGCAAGATTTTCTTAGTGACAGTTTATGCTTGCTAATTCCTTAGATAATAGATACGCCTTAAATTGACACTGCGTCACAAGCGCTGTTGTTAGGCGTGCAAAGCAATGTGCTTCCTGAATCGAACTAATACAAAGCTTATGCAGTGACCGAAGAATCTTACAGCAAACCACAGACCAATTAGGAAATTGTTTATAGTGACTAATACTGCGTCCTTTCAACATTCATCAGGCAGATCTGTTTGCTACAAAATCTTCAGCAATTCAGCAAGCTTTATCACCACGAAATGCTTCCAGCAAAAACACAGATCCAGAAAGATGGAATTTTTGAGGATCGAGAGCGGAAATTTCCAAACTAAGCATCACTAAGTACAACAAAACAGTAATCGTATGAGAGGAAATATTACATAAAGAAACTCCCAGATCCTAAATTTCCGACCAGGCATGGCATACCTTCGATCCCAGAATGGAAGACGCCGATCCCGAACCAGTACAGGTAGTTATTCACCGGCGTCAAGTCATAAACATTCAGGTAGAGGTGCGTCCTGCCGCTCCCATCTCCGTTCCTACCGCTCAGCCCCTTCACGGACGAACATCTCGACAGAATCGAGCGCATGTTAGTCCGACTCGGCCGGGGGCGCAACGAAAGCGGACCAACCCTAGAACCCCCAATCCCGCATCGAATCCTCCACCTCCCACCCTCGATTCGACGTCGCGTTCAAGAATCCGACGAGGAATCCCTCAGAGAAAGAACCGGGGTCGGCGAGATTTAGGGTTATCCTTTTCCCTTATCGCGAAGAGGAGCACGTCGGCATCGACCCAAGGAGAGGGGAAGAGGGTCCAGCTTCTCTCGCTTTAAGCTTCCGCTTAATGGAATGGATCTTTGCATCCAACCCCCTATAACCTTTCATACATACAAATAGCTCCTCACATTTTCTTATTTATAATTATACCCCAAGACTACCTCAAATTATATTAGGATTTTTCAATATATAAATAGCATAATTTTCTCCAAATGGTAGCTATTTTATTTATATTTATATATATATATATATATCATTGAGTGCTAGATAATATTTTTATCTCTCATCATAATAATTTCTCTCTTTTATTTTCTTTCATTTTATTGGAAATAAATCGACGAGAAATTGAATATGATCAAGCATAGAGTTTAGGCTAAAGAAAATGTATTATGAAATGAGATCAAAACCTAGAGTTAGTAATATTACGTGGAATTAATGTAAAATTTCAAGGTTAATTACAAATTATTTAAAATGATATATGATATATGTACTTTAGAGGGAGATATATGGAAATACGTAAATCAACAATTTTAGAGGGACATGTATGTAATTTTGTGTTCATAAAGAGAGGGGTGAAGAGAATGAGTTTCGTGAGGCTGCCGTGTCACGGTCGAGACAGGAAACAGTCTTTATCCGATTCCACTGACAACAACTGTGGTGACGTAATGGGAGCCACATTTATGCGAAGGCAAACTCTGTCCCTGTCTTGGACTTCACAGGTGAACTCCGCCCCGAGGGGTCGTGTTGTCGGCAACCTCACGATTCAATGCTTGTCGCGTCGTGACTGGGTTTGTACGGGAGTTTGATGTTGGACGGTTAAGTGGATTTGACCAAATAGGCGTATAAATGATCGATTTGAGAGAACGATGAAATGATGGCTGAATAAACGATGTTATGATTCAAATAGATAGGAAAACTCGTTTATTTGATGAGTTAAATTATCGGTTTCATATGCTTAATCTTAAATTAATAATAATAATAATAGACTTATCTGATGTTATTAATTGATTTAGAGCGGTCGTAATTGCTTTTATTTCCCTCGCCAGAGAGGTACGAGGGAACATGTAGTTGCTGCAATTTCTATCAGACACACTTGGTGATGATAACATGGGCAAGATTCCAAATGTTCTCATGTATGGTGATGTTACTCCGTGCAACTTTATTTATTGTTTTTATACCCAGTAAGTGTGGTTGATCTTGGAAACTTCGATGTGATAGTGTATGTGACAGCTACCTATGATTCCTCGTGTAAAAGGCCTTTTGTTTGAAGCTCTTATATAATCGTTTGTAGATGAGGAATATTCTCGTATCAACTATAGGCCATCGGTTAACGGTCACCGTGGAGTCGATATAGAACACAACACAACATTTGTCCAACACACAAAGAAACTGACCTGGTAAGCGATGCCCTTCCGCTCGATTTCACACTGCACGAGATTGTACGAGTTGACGTCGCGCCATAGGAACCCGAACGGATTGACCCACACCGCGAGGTGCATACGGGTTGATCGTCCTCGTGATCATGCCGCCTGAGACACTAATGGTCATTATCAATCATCATATCTTCTATCATTATCGTAGGTATAAATACTGATTCCCTATCTCAGGAGGAGGAGGAGGGATCGATTGGAATATACCTCCACTCACTAACTTAACTATTGGATGGGTCGAGTTGGGAATCCCCCTCCAACATTAACCTATTGTGAAGAATCTCGATATAGAGCCAGTGTAACACGGCTCCACTTTGGGATACTCTTGAAGGCTCGGTTAGCACCTCGGAGTTAACCTCCCCAGCCCGACCTCGCACCCCCATCCGTCATCTCCTCGAGGAACCGTTGGATGACTCTGCACTTTTGGGACTAGACCATGCTGTATCGACTCCCAGGCCATGACATAAAGGTGCATAATATTTTTGGTGCTATAAGAAGGGTCGAATGTTGTAAGAGTGTCTACCGGTTAATCCACTTAACGAGTGCTCTAGTGATGAGGTTCCTCCACATACACACAATACCTTCGACCAAGGAGAACAAATGCTCACTCTCCCACAAGTAGATAGGTCCACCTTGGCCCAGACCCCAGGGCATTATTAGCGCTTATTTAATAATCCTAAGTTCTCCCCTCCAGAGCCAACACATGATTGTTGGTGGTTCGTGCTGAGGCTTTCCTAAACCACACCCACTAGGTGTAGGCACTTGCCTAGATGATGAAAACCATCACTCCTCTCTTGCCTCAACTGACTCAATAAATGGCGCATATTCTGCAACTACGACTAGCAGTCCAGTTATCGCTTGTTCCCACACTCCTCAGGACTACCCTGACCGAATCACCCTCGATGCACCAAGACCACCCCTAGTTAGTCGAGGGGCAACTCGAGGACTCACGCTCCATGATGGCGGAGTGCAGCGCTCCCCCACTCCATTGCACCACCTCAGCCTTTCACGAGTTGGACACTCATTTCGACATATTCAATAAACGACTTGCTCAAGGCACAATTACGACTGGTGAACCAATGCCTGGACAAGGTATGATAGGAGTTTCATTAGTCAAAGGGGGAAGCTGGCAACCATAACTCGAGCAGCTCCCCTTTCGCCTAAGATATTCACGAGAAGCCCCTCTCGACCAATTTCCTGCTAATTACATGTATCTTGCAAGCTAATCACATGAGTGATGAAATGTATGACACGCTGCACAATCTTTATTATTATTATTATTATTATTATTATTATTATTATATATTTTTATATTATATTATATGATAAATATATATTATGGTATTCTTGGATGAGAATTGGATCATGATGAGATTATGATAGTGAGACCAATTCACATATGAACATGTATCACTAAATATTCTCAATCATAGGTTACTCGAGAAGGATATCGAGATAACCGAACAGGCCAGTGTGCTATATACCCATCTATATGATGGAGGCAACTGGTCCCATAGATGCTTGTGTTGGGACACTAGGGATATAATGTCGGTACTCATTGAAGAATAAGTTCACTTACAAAATGTTGGATGGTTAATGATACCTCATTGTTAGATAGCAATTTCGTGGTCCCAATTATGTAACTGGTCTTTAGGCTTGAGGCACAAAGGATGTTTTGTTTAAGTACTCCATTTTTTTATGCAAGACGTATAGGTCTAGAAGTTTCAAATATAGTACAATCGATTATCCTGAGTGGTAGCCAACCTTACAAAGGTAATTGGGCGCCAATAGAAGATTATTTAATCTCAATATCATGAGAGGAATAACCCGTATGTTCTTACTCAAGCAAACCCCTGGCCAGAGTCAATCAAATCATGATGAATTCGATAAGCATGAGATTTAGATTGAGAGAGTTCTCTAGAAGAATCTGATCAAAGTGAGACTTAGATAGATATCGTATAAGCCTGACAGTATCATGCTTGATATATAATCTTTGAGATATTAGATGAATGATGAACTATAGATACATGATAATTGAAGGCAAATATGTCAAATAAATTATATCTCCATATATTGTTTGGGGCTATAGCGTAGTAGTCTAGTACGTTTATAGTCAATGAGTTAAATGAATTATTATGAGGATAATAATTCATTAAGTTAGTAAGAGTTCTGAGTCAAAAGGAGTTCTAACAGGTGTAACTCACGAACAGTAGATATTGAGCCTATAGGGTCACACACATGGATGACACAATGAATAGATGATTGAATATATGATATTCAATAATCCTTTATTTTATTGGATCCGGTTGAAACCTAATAAGAGCTTAGAGTGGATATTTGGATAGAGATTCACATTCTATCAAGCTAGGGATAATTAGATGAAGATCTAATGTCCAACATGTAAAGATAATTGGATGAAAATCTAATATCTAATAGGATAAAATCCATTAAGATTAAGTTGAGAGGACCCTTTATAAATAAGAGAGTGACCAAAGAGTCATAAGCTAGATTCCTTTGGTCACCAACCTTCTATAGTTTTTTTTTCCCTTGCTTCTTTTGCCATCAATCTCTATTGGAGGCGTGAGAACAACAAGAAGGGTCAACACCTTCTAGTTTTGCTGCTGTGTGGTGAAGGTCAAGTTACCCGAAAGCTCCATGTGAAATGTGAAGGAGGTGAAGGTATCCAATAATTTACGGTCGGTGGTCAGCCATATCGACATAAGTTATTATGAAAAAGTGAGATAAAAAAAGTTCGACAGTGTGAACTTACAATCAAAACACAAAGAAAAAAACACTTTGTGATAAACTTGAGATGCAGTTTGTGGTTCATTTTGATTCTTATATTGATGCCCAGCTTTAATGTCCCAGGTCAGCTTTTGACTTCTGTGGTATGACTTCTGTCGCATTCTGTTTATTTATGTTCTATTTTGATCTCCTCAACTTATGATGGGCTAATCAAATGTGTCCTTGTGGATTGAGAAACCCAGAAAAGCAAATCGTTGTTTTATACATCATCGAGTCACATATATGTGGATCGAACTCCATTACCTGTTGAGCCTCCGAAATAATGGGTGCACTCGATCCAATAGCTTATCGGATCCAATCCGACCCGAGCCAAAACGTGGCTGCTCGAAACCCCAACGCATCCACGTGAACCGGACTAGCCCGAGTCCAACCAGACCGTTCGTTCGTTGCTCCGATCCCTTTACCCAAGCCAACACGTGTCACACGTACCACCGCGCATTAGAAATCATTCGTGCCGACCGCGATGTGCTCATCGAGCGCCACAGTTTCGCTGAGCTGGCCGCCTACCTGGACCGCGTCGTCCCCATCCTCGACCGTCTGATGATGGCCACGACGCCCGCCGCGAACCGTGACGGCAGCTCCCCCCCTCCCTGTCGCCGCCGAGATCTCGCCCGCGAGGTCGAGGCCGCCCGGGCCCTCGCCTTCGACTGCGGCTAGCGCAACCGCGTCTAACTCATCCTCAACTGTCGTCGCATCGTCACGTGCCTTGAGTCCGCCAGGGAGATCGGCCTCCTCCCCCTCGCCTCCCTCGATCTCTGCTCCGCTATCCGCGATGAGGCCAAGCTACTTGGCGATTCCATGGACCGGGCCGCCCACCACCGAGGAAGAAATCCTTCGGAAGGTGGAGTCGACCATCCAGGAGAACAACTCCAATCGGTCCTACACGAACGGTCTGCTGGCCCTCATCGCGGACTCCGTGGGGATCTCCAAGAATCGGACTGCTCTCAAGAAGGGGTTCAAGGAGGTGGCGGCGGAGGCCAAGCTGCAGAAGGACCTCGCGGAGGCGATTCAATGGAGAAGGACCGCTGACCGCTAACGAATGGGTCAACTCATTTTAGGGCCTCTGTTTTCGCAGCCAAGGAATGGCTTCGCCCACCTATCACGCATATGAAGTGTTAAACAAGAGAAATTAAAAGCCCAAATCACTCCAATATATTGCATAAGAATATCATCATTACAAAGTCAAAATGTTAATGTTGATTTTATCATCATTACAAAGTCAAAATGTTAATGTTCAAGATTTATATATATATTTAATTGTTGAAACAAAACAGACATTCTCAGAAACTGTCATTTGGCAATCCGAAAAGGATTCTTCACAAGATTTAAGAGAGAGAGAGAGAGAGAGAGAGAGAGAGAGAGAGAGAGGATGCATGCACTCTTATTCGGATCACAAAAGCCTCGATCTCGTTCCTTCCCCTTGGTTCCCATCTCTTATCTCTTCCCTTCCCTTCCCTCTGTCTCCAGTCCAATATGAACTTTGGAGGAGCACCCAAGAGGCACACCCCAACTCATCCTCCCTACGCCGTGGTATGTTCGCCGCCCAGTGCAAAACCAAGCAGTTGCACGTCCATTGATCTTTGATTTGGTTGTGCTTACGGTTATTGGGGTCTTGCAGATGATTGCCGCCGCAATCCGATGCTTGGCCGAGGAGGGAGGCTCGTCGGAGGCGGCGATATCCGAGTACATCCGTGCCAACTACGACGACATCCCGTGGGCGCACGACAGGCTCCTCCCCTACTACCTCAACAAGCTCACCGAACAGGGAGAGTTTGTCGTCGGCTCGCCAGGCCGGTACATGACGGCCTACGACGATGGGCCGCCTGGTGACGCGCCCCGGACGTCGAAGCCTGCACCTGCTCCAGAACCATTGGAGCCAGTTGCCGCCGCCGAGGCCAGGAGCCACGCGGCTGATGCTGGTGGAGACGGCTTCCCGGTGCGCAGGCGCCGAGGACGGCCGCCAAAGAGGAGGAGAAGAGATGGCCCTGGCAGCCAACACGGACCAGAAGATTGTGGTGGAGAAGGTGGTTCCGTGGTGCGTAGACGCCGAGGACGGCAGCCTCGGAAGAGAATTGAAGCTGATGTCTCACAGGACGACGGAAACAACTGCGGCGATGCCGGCTCCTCGGATCTCGCAGAAGCACCACCATCGTTGCAGCCGACGCACGCCGAGGCTCTGCCCCCTGAACCAAACATCGTCGTCGACGGAACGGAGACCGTGCTCGCACTGCCATGCGCAGGGCCATCGAGGGCCGATGACGATGAAGATCCTCCATCGATGGCTCCATCAACGGTGGCCGAGGACGAAGCAGAGGCAATAAGATTACCAAATGAAGAGACCAGCAACCATGGCTCCTCAGTCGCCAAGCGCCGCCGTGGCCGACCTTCCAAACGCAAGCCAAGTGTTCGATGAGGCAACAAAGCCAAGCGCCACTGTCGAGGCTTCATTTGCTGGTGGCATTATCTTGCAGAACACTTCTGTTTGCTTCATGTAAAACGTTTCTGTTCAACTCCTACAAGATTTTGTTTCTTTCTTCCTTCGAAGCATAAATTTTGAGGAAATTATATGTGCTTGATTTGCATGACTTCATCTGTCGATGGCTTTGGATTTTCTCATAGGAAACATTGTAGATCGGTTGCTTGTGCATTGAACATGTCTTCATCTCACAGTTCTCAATGGCAATTCTAATCAATGCAAAATTGAAGGCATGGGAATTCAAGAACAGTTTTGCTTTGCTAGTAAATACTTGAACAGTTAACAATTCATTGTCATCAAATGTAGGTTGCTAAAAGATAGTTTCATAACTTGGAGTTAATCAAAATTAAGTTCCACATAAAGCTTAGAGAAAACCTTGCAAAGGAGAGTGATGAGTAGTAAATAACAGCCTAAAGAGAGCTTTTGTGTCTGTTGGGAGAGAAAGGAACAACTATATTTGGAGTGATTGATCAAATGCTAGGCATGACTCATTAACATCATACCAAATGGTTTTACCATGCTACCATATCAATCACAGAACATCAAAATGGGTAGAAAAAAAATGACAGTGCAACTTGACACTGAGCAATTGTAGTTTGCATGAAGTTTCAGATAAGATAATGTTCATCTCAACACAATTTGAGAATCAGATACCACCAAGGCCAATGCTACATCATTTCTTGAGCAAAGATACAACTTGAATGTAGCTGAGATAACATAATGTTTATCCCTACAACAGCTAGAGAATTAGATTCCACCAAGGCCAATGCTACATCTGTTTCTTGAGCAAAAGAGACAACTTCAGTGTATAGAATTTGAAGTCAGAAGTTAAGACATTGGTTATATCCCAACAACAACTTGAGACTTAAGTGCCATCAGTGCCATGCTACATCTATTTCTTGAGCAAAGATACAACTTGCATGTATCTTAGATTGCTTTAATTGCAAGTAGTATTTGAAGTCAGGGCATGTTTGGTAACCTCACAGACACTATCTTCTGCCAGTATGATCCAAACTGAAATGCAAGTATCTAGGAGTCAGAGAGCTTCAATTACTCAGCAAGCATTGGCACAGACCCTGTGTCGGTATGCTACCAATACATCGAGACCGAAGACATAGGATATGCCTTTAGCATTGACGGAGAGGTCCGAGAGTACAAATTTCATAGATCGTAAAATTCATGAACACAAGGTGATCGAAGAGGGAACGAATTGCGGGAAAGGGATCTCCTCACGATGATAATATTGCTATATGGGTTATGCTCGATACTCTGTTCATAGTTTCTCTATCAAACAAAACCAAATAGAAAGAGAGATACTAGAACTAACCTGAATAAAGTGGCGAACCCAGTGAACGAGGCTCTAGCTAATCTCATATTGACGCAAATGAAAAGAAGAAAACAGAATGATGTCTAACTGAAACAAATTTGACCATAGTTAGCTCTATGTTTCCAAATCATGCAACCGAGAAAGAACATGTATGCTAGTAGCTCGAAAAAAAAGTGATGCGACAGAATATATTTCAGCAATTGTTAGAAAAAAATATAGTCTAATTTGGTTTGATTCTTGATTGTCTCAATGTGTGATATTATAATATATAGAAATAAAATGAGTAAATGACAGTATCATGCTAAAGGAATAAGTGATTATATGAATATAAACTGCACATAGTTCAGAGCAATGAACTCAATCTCCTGGTGGATTAAAACTAAAGCTCCCATCCCATACCCAAATCTAATGAACTTCCACAAGTGTACCAAGTCATCCCGGTTATCCAGAGAAACCAATAACAATCCATCAAAGAAAATGATACAACTATGTTTTCATAGGAAATAAAAAAAAGACTTCTTGGACAAGCATTAACAGTCCTAAGAAGAAAAGCTTATCATATCAAATATGACCAGTGTCTTGTCTTTATGGCATTAATCTAACTCTTCCTTTTGACATGAGTTTTCAAGAACAAATCCTATGGTCTGCAAAGATTAACAAGGCTTCAGACATCAATATTGGTTCTCTAAATTTCATGAAGGGAGGCATTACAAGGGGATGACTTACCAACAACAATTTGTGCAAAAAGAAATGGTTAAAAGACTCAAGGAGCATTGTGATGCACAAGCCACATATGCTGTTAAGATTAGGCACAGAACACAGTACTCATGAATAACAATTTCACGACTGGCATGCATCCAGAGTTGAAATTAACTCTCATTTACTAATATCCAATAATAAAAAATATTTTTTTTCTCGTTAGATTAAATATTAAAATGCAATTTCGATACTAAATTGCAGCGAGGGATACTGAAAAGGTAGGAAAGCACCAAAGACAAAAACATCAGTGACAGGGGACAGAAAGCAAGATAACTCACGGTGGATGCAAGTCGGGTTGGCGAGGCGGCGAACTCCAACTCGAGGAGAAAACGTTGGCGGCCATCGTCGGGGTCATCGTAAGGGTTCTCGGAGCCGCAGCATTAGGATCGACCGAATGCGAAGCAAATAAAAAACAACAAACCCATGAAATTACGCAGGGAGGAAAGTAGAAGAAGACGCAGGAAGAAGCACTTGCGACGACTCGGATTCAGCGGGACACGTGGGGTACTCCTGTGGGGAGGCGATCCGTCGTTCCCTGTCTCAGCCGAGACTGCCGTTAGTTGGGGATCCGTGCCGACGAACGGCTTCAAAACGTCGTTGCGGGTCGGGTTTGATCGGTAATCCGCATCAACCCGATTTGGTTTAACCGGAAGCGGGTCAGTAGTGATGTCCGCTACCCGTTTCCCATCCTCTCCGTGCGATACCTTCTCCAAGCGGGACCCACGCTTGATCAGGTCACCGGTCCATTCCGGACAAGGATAGGTAAGTTGGTGGCGTCCGCGGAGGTCAGTGTCGGTCGAACTACCCCGTACCACCCCAACCTCGTCGTATTAGGAGATTCCGCCACGTGTCGAAGACCGCGGTCGGCGCAGCTTTGGCGTTCGAGCCACCGACACGAAGTTCGCTGTTGCACCCGTCAACCGCGCTACCCTGGCGGCACGCCTCCGCCGGCGGTCTCTAAAGAAAGCAAAACCCGTGAAAAGAATCACTAGAAGGTACAACGGCTGGCCGATTCGTGCGCCCCCAATCACCGCCACCGCGTCCGTTCCGCATCTCTCTCTTTGTGCTCCGCAATACCCTTGAATTGCGGCCGGTGGGTGCCCTTCTCTGCCTTTCCCATGATTAGGTCTAGCTTTTGGTCTCAATTTCTGTTTTTCCCTTTCTTTGAATGAGTTTGCTAGCATCTCAGTCGGTGTTTGTGTCATTTAGGAATTAGCCCCTTCGCTTTTCCATTTGTCGAGGATTTCTCGCTCAAGAATCATCTTTTAAAATAGAAAGCCTCATCAAGCCGGTAATTTGTAGACTTCGTACATGGAATTGGTGGCTTTTAAAGGATTTATTTTCAGTGGGGTTTCTTTTGCACTGTGTTGGAATCTCGAAAATAAAGCTGCAATCTTGCCCCGCGTTTCTTATATCTAGATTCTTTCTTTGCGAAAGAGATTTGTTTTCTTCCTTTTAAGGGTTTCCGTTAACTGTTTCGTTCCATGTATGATTTGGACTACCTGCTAAAGTTTCTTTTTTTGTGGAATTAGTGGATTGTAATTCCTTCTTTGTTCTTTTCTACTTGTAGATGAATAGGGTGGAAGATGGAGTTGCTTGTGAGATGTGACTAAGGCCCAGGCTGTGAGGTAGCTGCTGTAAATGGGCTGTTTTCAGTCGAAGGGTCGAAGGCATTTCCCAGGATATGAGGATCCTGTGCTTCTTGCTTCTCAGACTGCTTGTATGTCAGGCGTTTCTTTTATTTTCTAATCAGAAGTCTATAATTTTCATTCTTTACCTTTCATGTTTTTTAGATATCGGAGTGATCACCAAGCAATCAATTTAGTACGTTATCATCTGCCTTTGTTTCCTTGGAAGCATCTTTCATGTGACAAGGAGTCAATAAGCTCTGTTGATCAATGATTTATTAGCTTTATGCCTAGCTTTTAAATTGAGTAACAGCCTCAGGAAATTTGTTTGTTATGTCTGTAGTAGATGTACTCTTTCATGTTTTCTAATTTCATAGTCGTGGTTTCTCTTAGTTTGCAACAAAAAATGGTACTATCAGATAATCAATGGATATAGTTAAGGCCATTCAACAAATTAATATTATACTAATTAAGAAATCATCTTTTTATTTCCCCACCTATTGTAAGAACAAAACAATGATGGGTCCAATGGAATTATTCCTTCTTTTTGCTAGAAAATAAATTCTGCCATAATTTATCTATACAATATTTCTGCAGTCACCGTCAGTGAAGTTGAAGCACTGTTTGAATTGTTCAAGAGCATTAGCAGTTCAGTGATTGATGACGGGTTGATCAACAAGGTAGGGTGCAGTCTGAGTCGTTTCTGCTTTCTATTGGTTTTTGGTGAATTCCTTGGCATCTCTTGTTTAAGAGACTTCATTTTAGTTTCTTTCCAAAGATAAGATTAAGGAATCCTGGTTATATGTCGATTACAGATACTGCTGCTCTAACTATTCTATTAAATGCATACAACAACCTGGTAGTGAGTGCAAATTGTTTTCACCAGTTGATTAGTATATGCTGATTACTGATGTAAATTCAGTATAAATCACCTTGGAAAGCATTGGAAGTCGATGGTTTTAACTTCATATCTTCTACTTTTGCAGGAAGAATTTCAGCTTGCACTATTCAAGTGTAGAAAAAAGGAAAATCTCTTTGCAAACAGGGTACTTTATCAATAGATCCTTATTTATATCTCTGCTTTAATATGCATCTATTAAGTACCCATAGTATGTCTTGAACTTGTCTTTCTTGGTAGTTGCTGAATACAAATTCTAATTGTCTGTTGTGATTATGAACTTGTTCTCATAACTCTTTTTTTCCCTCTGACAGTAGATGAACCTAAAACGCCCAAACAGTGTCACCTCTAATATGCACTTCTCCAATTTGTGGAGGAGAAGAAGCTTATTAAGCTAACTACTTAAGAACTAAATACTAATAAAAAAATGAAAAAAATATTGCATGAAAAGGGTGATCATAATCCAAGCAGATTTTGAAATTTTAGAAACATGTTACGTATAGAGCCACTAGTGTCCAAATTTCTTAATCCACATAAAATATATGCTGAAAATTATCAAATAGATCTCTATACATGATCTGTTGTTGTTAATTACCGCAGATGTTCCTTGATTCCTAAGGCTTGTCAAACCCAGTTAGTCCCCACAAACTTGCATCATCCTGTCTGTACCAACTGAACAGATGGACTATGCAATCCTTTGGAATGGTGGTTTTTGGTCCTCTAATGGGGCTGTCCATCCCTTATTTTTGTAGGATAAGGACTTTTTCCATCTCATCTGGGCCTCTTTACTCTTTGATATAAGACTGCTGCTCATTGTGCACGTAGGACCCCATCTTCCTTCTTTATTAGATCAAGAAAGGTCCATCTTGCACGCTGGAATTTATTTTCAAACTGTCAAATTTCCTTGTTTGCTGTCCTAGTATTTATAGAGCTGAAAACACATATTGAAGTGCCAACTCATCTTCTTGGTTGCCATACTGGATTGAATTTATCTGTGGCCCAAACCTATGGAAGGTATTTTAAAAAGAAAAAGGGTGGTCTAGTACACAAGGCTCCTGTTAGTTGTAGAGCCACGACATAAAATCCTTGGCATCAAGGCTAATACTCTATAAATGGTCAACCTAACCTGTCAAATACGCATAATATCCATGATGAATTGGTGTTTTATGCCAAGAATTATCAACTTTATTAAATAATTTAGTAAATTTTATAATGATGGGATTATGTAAAACAAATTATGCAATAGTTCCCAGCCACTGGGATGTCTCAACTGATGCTGTGGATCATCGGAAAGTCTTTAAAGTTAATATTTCTCCTCTCTGGATGGTCCAATAATGTGGTATCAGTTCACACCTTTTTCAATTTACCAATTTGTAGATGTAGGTTCTCATAAGACAAAAGGATCAGATAATTAGCTTGCACAAGAAGACATGCTAATTTCAAACAGTGATCCTAATGAACGCCAAGATAGTTAGGGTTTTATTTGTAGCCTCTAGCTCCACCTAAGTTCCTTCAATCAAAAGGATAAATGGCTTGTGAAGGTTCATAATATGCCTACTTTGTTTGTCTTGTCATACCTTTTAAACAGTATCCATTGTGTCCTGTTACTCGGCATTTGCATGTTGAATTAGCTCAGGGGTTTTCCTAACATATTATCATAGTATTCTGTTTTTTTTTTGAATTTTTTTATTTAACTATTTGCATTAAGTGTTGCACTTAATGTTAAAGTTATGTGGTAATTGTATCTCGTAAAGAATCCAGTGCAATTACTTTATTTGTTTGAGTCAGCATAACTAGTGTAACCAGATGGTTAAAACATGCTGGATCCTTTACTGGTGATAGTTGCTCTTTGTATTCTCATTAACTCGTTACTACTGAAAAAATGCAGATCTTTGATCTATTTGATGTCAAACAAAAGGGAGTTATTGATTTTGCGGATTTTGTTCGAGCTCTCAGTGTCTTTCATCCAAATGCTCCACAAGAAGACAAAGTAGATTGTAAGTTTTTATTTTATTTTGTCAGCATTGACTAATTGGTAGAACCATTTTCTAAAATTTTACTTGATTTGACAGTTTCCTTTAAGATTTATGATCTGGAGGGTACAGGCTTTATTGAACGGAAAGAGGTAACTTGATATATTTTGAATGGTTAATATGCTAATGGATTGTATAAATTATAAATCCATTACAAGACTTCTCCTTGATAAATGAATCTCCTTTACAATTATGCGGTCATAGTAGGCCTTAAATGTCAACTTTTTACTTTTGAACAAGGCTTTCTCTTCCACTTATAAATTACAAAAACTTCCCTAAGGGTACACTCGTGATTAATTATAGCAAATTTGTCCAAGTAATTGATACAATATGCTATAGCTTATTTCACTTTTTGTGAGGCAATGGTGGGCTAGTGAAAAGAGTGATCAATTAACACAAGTTGAACACACATATGGTATATAGTGAAATTGTGAACATAAGGTGATAATTGAAGAGGATGAAATTGCACTAACTGGTGAACGTTGTGAATTGATATCTAGTAGGACCTATGCTTTTCTCTAAAGAAAATAAATGCTTGAAATTTTAGCAGGAACAAGTCCCTGTAATACTATCAGCATGGTTATTCTTTCATATCATCTTTTGCAAATTTATATTTCTGACATTTCTGCTTGTTATTGGTGGTTGTTTGTTTGTATCATCAATTGCAATTTTATTGAAGATGATAGTTCTAAGAAACAGGTCGTTTGACATAAAGTTTTCAAGAACAGCTTCTTTGCCTTTTCTTACAGAGCATAGATCAATGTTCCACATCAAAACCAATGAACTATTGGCAACATACACGCTCTGTGGACAACCAAAAGAATTTTCTTTTGCTTTTTCTTTTTTGGTTAGTGAATCTGCTCTATTGACTTCATGGTATATATGAAAACACAATAAATAGGAATCGAGTAGATATAACAGAAACTAAATTTATTCACTTGTATTTTTCATTGGAGCTGACTGAACAATGCATTAACATCCTTACACTTATTGTTAGTTCATTACAATGTTGGCATATTGTGGTCCTTGCAAATTTAATCTGAATTAACAGGTCAAGCAGATGTTGACTGCTCTGCTATCTGAATCAGAAATGAGATTGTCTGATGAAACCATGGAGATAATCCTAGATAAGGTTTACAATCTGATTATGGAACCCTATAAGCTAGCTTCAACTGTTGTGCTTCTTACTTTTTTTCTTCTTTTCTAACAGACATTTCAAGAAGCTGATGCTAATCAGGATGGAAGAATAGATAAAACAGAATGGGGAAATTTTGTTTCTCACAATCCATCATTGATGAAGATTATGACCCTTCCATATCTTAGGTAACTACTTCTAAATAAGACCAGAATCTGTAAGTTGCATATTACAGGCTGCTTTATATTTTTCTTGCTTGCTCCCTTTGTGTTCCATGATATTATAGAAAAAGCATACTAATTCATAGCTCATGCATTTGGCCTCAAGTAAGATCAACAGAGAACCGCTTCAGTGTGACGCCGTGGACATATATTTTTTTCACAGTCCTTTATAGCTCTTCAGAAACGCTGGGCCTCTTTTCTTAAAGAAATAATTGAACTTCGCAAAGGTTCATACATGAACTTATTTTGGATTTGACCCTATGCTTAAAAGTCCAGAAATTTAACCAGCAATTGGTCAGCTGTTGAATGGAGCATCATAATGAGTGAATATTATGATTCATAAGCACAAATTTCAAACTTGTTTTCTTCAGTTTTTATGTTTTTCCTTATAGAGAACGAGCGTAAAAAGGCGTTAGTGGTGTGACCTTAGCAAGAGGACCAGTGTCCCATTAAGTACAAAATAGTTAGTTGATTTAAGCTTGGGGTACTTACTGAGAGGATCAGAAGAGACGTTAGAAAAAACATTGAACACTTGGATTAAGGAACCATGTTAGTATTGCTAAATGAAAGAAAGGAACCTATCTGCCATGTACCAAAAGTTGGGCTCCAAGGCTTTGTTTTGGTATGTCAGTTTACTGTTTTATCTGAGTGTCAATTAGGAGCATTAATCTGTATAGAAGATTCGATGTGTTGTTGTCCTAAACACTCATCATTAAAAATTATTCACGACATTACCATGCTTGATTGTCTCTCACTAGCCAAACCTAAACTTCAATATTGTGGACTTGGATATTGAGGAGAAATTAGGAGCATCTCTTGCTATTACTCTTCCTGAGATGCTGGATCAAGATGGGAGGCAAATAAGGGCATTAAAAGTAGTGAGAGTTTTAACCTACAATCTCCATTATGAAATTTGTCCTTCAAATCTTTCATGTACATGGACTTGCAAATATTGATTTCTTTGGTGTGCTTGATAGATATTAACAAAGAATTAACAGGACATAGATTGTTTTGGACTCAATGTGGGCTCATCTGGGATGATTGCTCCATTGCTTACTGATGTATCTCAAATGGCTGTCTTGATGTCAAAAAAATGCAGGGACATAACAACAACATTTCCAAGTTTTGTATTTAACTCAAAAGTTGACGACATTGCTTCATGAGGTATGTTGCCTTATTTCTTTCTTTCAAGGAGATTACGAGTGACTGACCATCAGCTATCGCATGCAGAATGGAGCAAACTGTCAGCTCGCATCGGCAGTGAGATTGCAATGCTATTAAAGATGCCCTGAATGGACATTTGATAGTCGGTGTCAAAGTGTCATTTTTCATATAAAATGATCTGCCCAAGTTATGTGTTCTGGAATTCCATCATGGTACCTGACCAGAGAGCCAATGTATCTGTTCTCAGTAATCTTGCCTTGCCATTTACTTCATTTAGGAGTGCCTTCAAAGCAGAAGCAGGGTCTTGCAAGGATCTCATGTGTTTCTGAATTTGAAGAACATGGTATCAAATTAAGTGTCATCTGCCATTCTGATATAGTGAAATAAGTAGTTACTAATCTGATCACTCATTGCTATAGATGGAATCCATGATTTACCATCTTCCTCAGTGCAGTGAATACAGATGTAAAAGATATCTCATGAAATTTGTGTAACTTTGGTCTTATGACTAAAGAACTGACTTACCATCAGTTTTAGTAAAAATAATGTACCTCATTGTAAAGTGTTTTTGTGTTAATCCTTAAATGTAATTGTAGTATATTAAACCTAGAAACTTACATATATGTATTTGTAGCTAATTTTTATGGTTTCTTTCACTATCAATGGGAACTCTTACCTGATATTTATTTTTTTAAGAAAAATTATTGTGTTTTTAATATTATTAAAATAATAAGGCAATATCAATTATTACTAGAATTGGATAACTTGGAATTTTCTGAATGAATATTAAGGAAATGATTACATGTGAAGGATCTTAGTATTTACATGCATATTAATGATATATCAAAAAGTAAAAGCTAACATACTATTCAAAATTTCCAAGGGTGGATTTATGGAATTCCATTCAAATTTGTTGTATCATTAGGATCCAAATTAATCTCTATACACCCACTTTAATCCGTACGTGGAATTTATTATTTACTAATCGTGTAAGGGAAGAGATCCTACGAGACTTAAATAAACATGATCCTATCCCCAAAGAATCGTTCGTATATATATATATATATATATATATATATATATATATATATATATATATATATATATATATATATATATATATATATATATGCCAACCCAGCGAACGGTCCAGATGCAATCAATCGAGTGCACGAACCTAACCGCCAACGTTGCCTCTAATTAATTTTCTACCCTCCACTCAAGCGAGCGGCCAAGATGCAATCAATCGCGTTTCCGAATCTTAACTGCGAACGTTTCCACGTAAGTATCTCTTCTGTTGCTCTCTCTCAAACGAACGGCCGAGATGCTATCACTCGTGTTCGCGAATCCTAATCACCAATATCTCCATGTAATTATCTTTTTACCCTTCTCTCTCTCTCTCTCTCTCTCTCATCCTTGTTCCCCTCTTGCTCTTCGATCCCAAATAGACGACGAGCTCTCTCTCTCTCTCTTCTCTCTCTCTCTCCTTGGAGGGGAACAGGGAACAGTGGTTCCTTTCCTTCCTTTCTTGAAATTGCATGTTCCTGCGTCAAATACTTTGCCGTTCTTTTTGAAATCGAGGGTTCTTGGCGTCAGATTTGGCGATTCTTCTGGATTTCAGGGTCTCCGTTTTTTTCTTTGCGAAATGGTGCGGTGAATCAGTTTCGAGGTGAGTTTGAGGGGAGAGGGTCGAGTGAATTGGGGAGGAGAGAGATATGTCTAGGGAGAGGGGAGGGAGCGGGTCGAAGGCGGAGATTGGAGCTGTGGATCGGAAGCGGATCAACGATGTCCTCGACAAGCATCTGGAGAAGTCCCCTCCGTCCGCTTCGAGGGGTTTGAACAGCAAGGAGAAGGATAGGATGTTGGTGCCATCGACGTCTTCCGGAAAGCAGCCGGAGCCCCGGTCCTTGTTGAAAAGCAAGTGCTCAGATGGTAAAATGTCGTTACAATCTTTGTTTTATTTTGTTCTTTCCATTTTGAAAATGGTTTTGGAGATGTGTTCATGCTTGATTATTTTTTTTTTATTCTCAATATCTATTTAGGTTTGTGATTCAACTGCATATGTTTCTGTTTGGAACCAAAGTAAATTGCGGCATATATATCTGGTGAAAACATAATCTAGTCATCCATTCTCGATGAAAAGGAGATGATTAACTATTAATACATTGAGTAGACTTTCCTAAGAAGTCTGCTCATGGTTTTACTCCATGAACAAGTGACGCAGAAGTAGAAACTTACTTAGAATAATTGAGCTAACATCGTATTCCAGGATCCAAAATTCCTGATTTAAGTTTGTTATCCGACCGTCTTTGCACCTCTGAGATCAATACATGCTTTATCCTCATGCATACCACAGCTAATGAGCTAAGATTTTATTGTAGTTTTTTATTATTTCCTTGTACATTCCGAACTAGAGTTAGTGACACATGCAACATTAATTCTTAGAAACAGCAAGCATTGCACTTTCTTGGATATCTGCATCATTCCTTTAGACTTCTCTAAGAGACTTAATTAGCTCGCATTTGATTATGATGATTGTTTTATTGTATGTGAATATACACAAAAACTTATATTGTAATATCCAAATATTGTATGTAAAGCTCCCTTTTTTTATAATATGTACTGGTTTTTGTTTATATATCTAGTTAATTTTGAAGAATTCTAGGTTTTCAGCTTCTTCTTCTTTTTCTCTATAATACTCATTGTTAATATTCTTGTATGAATTTTGCCATAGTGTTGCTGATAAGTGTTTCAACTTTTGCTATATCTGGTGCCACAGAGGAATCAGAAACAGATAGTGAAGAGTCGGATGTTAGTGGTTCTGACATGGAAGACACATCTTGGATTTCTTGGTTCTGTAATCTAAGAGGGAATGAGTTTTTCTGCGAAGTTGATGATGAGTACATACAAGATGATTTCAACCTATGTGGGCTAAGCAGTCAAGTTCCATATTATGATTATGCTCTAGATCTGATCTTGGATATAGAGTCTTCTCATGGTAAGCTTGATTGCCTTTTACTCATACAGACTTGCCTAACAGTGCACCATTTTGTTTCACTCCTGTCACAAATGATTATGCATTATTGATGATCCCAAGCTTTTGGATCCTAATAATTTGTCATTCGTTGATAGCTATGTTGAGGTGATTACAATATTTAGGTTGGCAATAATTTCCCTCAATCTTGAGCATTGTTAGCCAGGTTTAATGCCAAGTTTCTTTTTGTATTTTGTTTGGTTTGTTAAGAAATCATATCATAGTTCCTTTACTTTTGGAGTTTTAGCGTAGCATTTTAGAAAAGAGTTTAAGAAGGAAATTTCGTGCCTTTAGCCGAAGTATAAATATTGCTTTCTCTGATTTTGAATTCTTGGTTGTTGACATGTCTTTTTTAACATAAAGCCCCAACTAGCAAAGAAGCAATAAACATTCTAAAGCTGGCTTTACTAGGCTGTTTATTTCTTTTTTCCAAAATTATGCAATAGTATGTTTGCTGACAATGTTTTCATTATGTCTAAAAACATTATCTTTTTATATTGGGATGTTTCTTTATTTTTTGCAAAGAGCACCATTGTGTTATGAACAGGTGTGCTTGCACCAGTGATTTCTTTCTTTTAAAGACAGCAACTATCTTTACTTTTGCTGTCGTAGTTGTTTCTATTTTATATAAAACTAGTTGCAATTCAGAGAAGGGTGATAAGCCCTTGATGGAGAAACATCCATAGAATGAAATGAACTATGCATTTCGTAAGATACCCATGCTATCAAAGGGTTCTGGTAAGAAACATGACAGATAGGGCAAATATATGCAAGTAGCATTGCGACTAAATGGCTTTTCAGATTTTTTAGGAAGTGAATGCAAAAGCTTCTTTTTCCGATTTGTGAAACTTGTGGCTATGTAATGTTACTGTCAAAATGGTTGTTGCAGCAATAACTTGTACTACGACCGAAATGTCTCTAACAGGGTGCAATTATTGAGGCTGCAATTTAAGAGCTAAAACATAAGGGTTTTACCAGCCAATGACAGTTAGCATGACATTGAAATTCTAGTTGAGGTAGCTCTTGGGAATTTGAGAGGTGATGAAGCCATGAAAGAGCACTATAGATATTAAACTATGGAGGGGCAGCAACACATAATGGAAATATTAAAGGCAAGAAACTCGATATAACTCAGTTAAAGAACTTGGAAAAACATTACCAGTAATATTCTTTGAAAGTAATCATTGGCATCTTTTGTAGTTTCTAACATTTAACCTGCATTATGTTTAAATAAAATATTGAACATTTGTTTTTAGATGTTTTCTTTTCCTTTTCTCATTTTTTGAAATTTAGTGTAGGTACTTCTGTATTCTTTGCAGATTTTTTATAATGTTTCTTTTTTCCAGTAAGAGGATCTACCCAATCTCTCTTTTTTGGTAGATGTATGTCTTATTAGCTGTAATTCTTTTTTTAAGGGAGCTTTGACAAGTGTTGCATTTGATGGGGTTGATCAAGTGCTATAACGGTCACAAAGATGTGGAGGGGCTAAGTAGTGAATACACTGCTAGAATGGCCAATTTGGAAACCATGAGAGGTGGACCATATCTTTTAAAGGACTTCCTGTTAGGATCAAGTTATTTTGCAACTTGTCATTGCTTTCTTCAATTATTTTATTTGTGTGGCTGATGGATGTGCACTAAAATCTTAGCTAAAACAAATGCTCACTTGATTATAAATGGCATCAAAGTTTTCATGTTCTTGAAATCTGCTGGGTAAAATGATTAACCACATGATTAAGAAATTTGGCATTACTTCTATGTTTGCTTTATATGATTGTATGTGTCACATGAAATCCTTATTGGGTAATATATCTTAATTAATTGTCATAAAATAATATAATAAACATTTAAATTTGCCTTGTTGGCCTCTATTGGAACCTAATTGATATTATTTAAGCTTTGGATTGATCAAGCACTGAAAAATAAATGTTGAACATTGATAATCCATGTTTCTCCATTTTACACGCTTGATTTTTATTTAATTAGTAGGATAACATTTTGAACCATTTTGATAAATTATGGTATATGTATGTGGCGATCAAATCTTTATTTTGCACTGTTTATGCTTCTTTGGTAACTTCACTATTGTTGAACATTAATTTGTTGGATTGTATTTTGCACTAGTTTATGAAATTTTGCACCACAAACTCTTTCCAGTCCCTTACTAGACAGAAATATGCAAGAGAAGAAAGAATGCATTTTCACTTTTCATTGTGAAATTGAAACTAGATAGACTAAGGAATGGTGTGCTTTGTTAATTAATTGCCAGTTGGTTTGTCATAGATGGCATTTCGAATGAGCATCTCTCCTCCAATGCTGATTTCTTCTCTTCTCCCCTGACAAGTTCTCCTCCAACACATGCACAGATAAAAATGTGTTGCATAAAAAAAAACTGTAAACAAGAGGCGCCAAAAGTAATTTACATGAGTGAAATTTTTATACCTTTCTATTTAGATTTAACACCTTGCAATTTATACCTCGATATTTCTTTAGATGTTTATCGCTGCTACCTTTACTGGCTGATTACCTGAATACTTTATTATGTTTCTTTTATCACAAATTGAA